ACCAAATGACACCGAATCCTACCGTCGAATCTGGTGGCTTATACCTTTCTTCGCTTTTTTTCAAACAGAGTAGTCCATTCGTCCAGTGATATTTGACTAAATTTAGGCGGTTTCATAATTATTTTTTGTAAAATAGGTCTTAAATGAGCAGCTGTTCTCCACCAATTAAAATCATGTTGATCTGATGATTTGGCAATATCTTCATTATATTCAGGTAATAATTGATATCGTCGAAGTTTAAGACAAAGAGAATTTAATGAAGAACTTAATTGATTATTTTGTGATTGAGATAAATTTAATGAATATTTATCTTTTTGTTTTTCTAATAAATTAAAGTCAATATCAGTTGAACTATCTTCAAGTGATATACTTCGTCTTAATGTAAGTGGTGTATGATATAAACGTTGTTTTAAACATCGTCGCTCAGCTAAATATTGATAATTATCTAATAAATGTTTGTCGTCATCATCATTTTCATATGAATTAAATGTTAAACTATTTGTCATTTTTATTTTCTAAAAACAAAAACAAAAATAATTTTATTATTAACTTTTAAATATAAAAAAATCGAATAAGATAACTTTTACCTATTCAATCTGTGTTTTAATTCTATATTTATGTTCAAACTGTCAATTAATATGATGTTTATCTCTCTATGAATATATATTTAAAGAAAAACGATAATTTTCTTTTTTTTTCAAGTGTTTTTCATAGTCTCTCCTTTTTTTTATTCTTTATCGTTTGGTCTCATAAGATAGACTAAGTAAATGGAACTTCCCACATACCCAATGTATATTTGACGTTTTTTTCTTTTTTTTTTCTCTAATAATTAATATCTTTATTCTATAATATATAATATATAATATAGACATAAAGATTTGAGAAAAAAAAAAAGAAGTTATTATAAAAATAATATTAATCATGTTTGTTCAATAGATAATTTTTATCCTAGACATGACTTTATTCTAAATCAGATCTTTTATTATATATTATGCGTGACATTTGTTCATGACTTAAACTGTAAATATATATCTCATGAGTTATTCATCTATCGAACATTTTTAATAAAATTTATTTTTTATTATTATAAACATTTCGAAAATTCTTATTCAAATATCAAATTTACGATTCATTTATTTATTTGATTAGTTTAGTTTTTTGTTTTTTGTTTTTTAATTTTAGATTTTCCTCAGTATATTTCGATTAATTATTAATTATCATTATTTTTCTATTATTAAATTTTAATATTTGTCTTCATACTATTATTATTGTTGAAATATGAAAAAAACAAAAAAAAAAAGAAGTTTTTTTAATCTACAGCAAAAATGATTTGTTTAATAAGAAAACAAATATATTATTTGTTAAATAATATGTTTATAGAAAAGTAAACAGTTATAATAATTTTTCTTTTTGATATCGTTAAATGAATATTTCGAAACTGTTTTTCATATGTTTGAGATAATATTCTATTTCGAGTTTGTTCATATTTAAGTTATTTAAAAAATAAAAAATCTAATTCTTTATTCTAGATAAATAGTTAATGAAATAATTTAGAGTTATTCAATTATTAATTTA